CCCCAAAACCCCAAAACCCCAAAACCCCATTATCAATTTAAAAACAGATAGTTATGAAATTAATAAAATAAATTATATCATATTCATAAATAAAATTCTGTTCTTTTAATTGAATTTGGTATCATTAGTTTGATTGATTCGTCATTATTTTTAATGCTTAAGATGGTCTTTGAAGCCAAAGATTTTATTTTAGTTTAACTTTTCTACATTTGAAGCTAGCACGTTGCCATTAACAATATGAGCACCGTGGACATTTACTAAAAGGTGTGATCTCTACTCGGGACTCGTGGGGTTAATTGTTTACAGATGTGTATCTACCTAACTATGAGATTTAGACCGAGAAAGGGTCTACGTCTTTTGCAACTCAGCTGCGTCATTAATGTAAATCTGACTCTTATTAGAGGAATGTGAATCAGTTACGATTATTTCTTGAATGCTTCGGTTGTTCTAGGGCATCATACTTTCCTCGAGATTAGCATCCTCCCCGCTCTCAATTCCAAACTCGTATTCACCTGTGCCTCCCATTGAACCACCTAGTCTCATTGAGTCATTTTAGAATTTTTTCATTCTTTACTTAGACTCCTTATTTTTTGTTTTAGAATTCTTTTTTCTTTTACCTTGAGTAGGTAAGTCCTCCTCCTCTTTTTTTTCCTCTTCAATTTAAGTTCTACTTACATTCACTATCAAACTATTTCTCTTGCTTTGTTTCTTTTTATTTATCTTTTAAAAGGAAGACTTAGATGCCCTTGCAGGAGTGAGATGCATGAAATCCTCATTTTAACTGAGTGAAGAACTAACCAGTCTGGATCTATACGAATTCATTTCTCTCAACTCTGATTCTATAAGTTAATTCATTTTCCTATCATCAATGATTATTTCATCACTGCTAACTCTGCTAAATATCTGAAAGTCATCAAAGTTCTCTATCTTCAGATTTATATTTTCTATTTCCTTATTATCTTTTGTGATTATCTGAGTGTTTATATTCACATTTTGATATATTTTTTGGATTATCTAATTTTATCCATCGCTCTTTTTAGACTTGAGTGAGGCCGCTCTATGCTAATTAGAATCGCTACCCTTTGCAAATGATGCTAGCTGTTCAACTCTTATATCATCTTGAAAGCCTCTCTGCTAGGGACTTCTGCCTGCTACAGGAGTTCTTTTATCCTATGATTACTCTCCAAGACTAATGTTAACCATCCTTTAATCTTGAAATATTCCTTTATTCTCTCTAATGTCTTTATTATTTACTTCCTAGGATTCGCTCTCATCATTTATATCTACTTTATTTAGTTAATTTAGATGCTTAATTAGCTTTCTCTTTGCTACAATATATCTCATATGCTGTATTGCCACTTATGCGGCTGCTTGATGTAGTGATGTGAAGTGACTATCTTTCTAAAGATTTTTCTGGTTTGTTATAGCCTTTTTCTGGTCCTTTACTACTTCTTTTACAGCCTATATCTTCTAAGCTGATTCTTAGAACTCAAGTTTATTAATGTCTTTTTCAATCTCTTTTTTAATTTCCTACTCTTTTTTCACTTCATCTCCAAGCTCATCTTCAGGCTCGTAACTTTCATCTAAGATTGAGTCTTTTTGCTAATTTTCCTTTTTCTTGCGTTCTTTTTCCAAGCTGATCTATTCTTAAACTACTAATCGTAAAGCAAGTGCTTAAAGCACATCGAAGAACATATAATCAGAGAAGTTGTTATAGATAGGTAAATCAAGATTTGCAATAAATTAGTCCTGACTTCCTGTCTTTTCTATAAGTCCTTCGTCCCAGCCTAAAGGTTTTCCAATATCAAATAAAAAATCTTTTATCTATTTAATTGGTATGAAAGTAGTAGCTTCTGGATCATACTACGACCATACATCTCTGAATTTATCTAAAGTCTCCTAATTAAACATCCTACTCTCTTTACTTTAGGTATCATCGAAACCTTGCAAAATAATAGCTATGAAGAGATTTAAGAAAATTAGATTCACGAAAATTATATAGCTGTAGTAAAATAATAGTCCGGCAAAAGAAGAATCCCCGCAACCAACTGTCATATAGCTATTATCAACGTAGTCTTAATATGTAGGGGAGTCAATACAATGAAAATCGATACTTTGTTATTTTAGTGTAGCACTTACGATTTAATCCCATGAATCCCCTGTAGCTATTGAAAATAATGTAATAAATGAGCTCAGAAACGTTTCAAAATTTAAATTATCAGTCAATATTCCGCTTCTTTTGACTTCTGCAAATAAGTATACTCCAATAATTGAATAGAGATATAATAAGAGCAATAGCAGTCCACCTACATTAGCTAGGGCAGGTAGAGTGAATATAAATGTATTAAATACTAGTCTTAGTTCTTTCGCCCTTTTGACAAGTCTAAAAATTCTAGTTATTCTGAAAGCTCTGATAATAGTGGTAGCTCCACCTAATTAAAAGTTAGAATTTATTGATAAGAACACACTGAGTGAGCTTCCAAGGACAATAATAAAGTCAAATATATTCCAGTTCTCATGAAAGTAAGCTTTACCAAGTGCAATCAATTTTATAACAGCTTCCATTGTAAATATCAGTGTAAAGATATAATTAAGTGTCTCAGAAGCGAATGAAAGCTTATCGGGTTGATAATACCATTTCAAAGTGAGAACAAAAGTGTTTAAAATAATGCAAGCTAGGATAAAATATTCGAACCATTATTATTTTTGAAGCTTAAAGCAGTATTTTCTAAATAGATTTGTAGGTTAAATAACTAATTTTTTGGGTTTAGCTCTAAGAGCAATCAACTTAGTGTCAATCCAGTTCTTTTATCTATCTGTCAGTAGATTATTACCACCAATCTTATCTTTCTCTCTATTGAATGTACTTATAACAACACCAACGAATAAGTTGAGTAGAAAAAATGATCCTACAATGATAAAAGCAATGAAGAATAAAATCCAAAACAAGTTATTATTTAATATTGGGGTATAGTCAACATCACTGGTGCTTATACTAACGAACATAACATCTGACCATCCCGAAGTAGTGGCCATTTAAAATAAGGTTTTCATCGCCTGAAATATATTATCAAAAGAATATGGTTTATTAATCCAATTAGCTCCAAAATTAATACAATCCCATTTATTTTAGATCTAATTGACTTAAAAATCTGAGATAAAATCATGCTAGCAATAATAAAACTTTCCTTTAAAATAGCTAATACCAATAATACCAAAGATTAAGAAAAACAAAAGCATAATAATAGTCACATTTGCTATCTAAGGTATTGCTTGAATAAGTGCTTTTACTGCTAATTATAATCCCTCGTTTTTACTAACTAACCTGAGGCCTCTAACTACTCTAAACATTTTGAATATCTTAAAATCACTAGAAAGAGGTGTTAGTGAAATTACTGAAAAAATAATTATGGCAAAATCCAGTTTGTTCCATGTATTTCTTAAATAACTTCGTTCTTTATTAAAATAGAATCCAAAAGCAATAATTTTCATAGCAGCTTCAGCACAAAATACAATCGTTGTAGCGAAATCAAGCCAATATAATATATCGATGTATTTACTCTTTGGATCATTCAAAGGGTTTTCAATAGCCAATTGTACACCTGAGACCAATATGAAGAAAATAATGAAATAATCAAATTTTTCATTTGTAACTACTCTAAAGCAAAACTTTCGGAATAGATTCTGCTCTTAGAAAAGAGACAAAGATTTCCCCTCAATCTTTACCTCTTAGTCTTAATTTGAACTTTTTGCTTAAGTTTTTCTTTATTTAGCCTTAAGAGAATTTGATTAATTTTAATTCTCCCCCTCTTGCTTTTCTTCTGCTTTCATTAATCTTTTACAAGATTCTTTACTCTCATTTTCATTTTACTTGGAATCAAATTTCTCATTAAAATCTACTTCAAGAATATTTTAGAATTTCAATTCTTTTTCATTTTACTTTTTTTACCTATTACTTATATTTTTCTTTTTGCAGGATTTGCACTTGAAGAATTTTCTTAGTTTCTTGCATTTTTTCTTAGTTTTTAGATTTTTACTTTTCTATTTTCGATATTACTCTTTAATTTCTTAATCAAGGCTTTATTCATCAAAGTTTTCAAGTAAAATAGCAAGGAATAAATTCAGTAGTACCTTTTACCCAATAATTATTAAGGAAATGAAAAATATTGTTGAAACTGCCGGTCCAGTAGCTCTGTAGTAATTATAATAAATTGCACTCCATCCATCATTTGTAAGAATAATAAAGACAGTGGTAAATGAAGAGATAAAATCATCGAAATTAGCTAATGGAGATGAACCATGGGCATCATCAAGAGTGATTTGATCTGGTAATACTTTTACTTTATATGCAAAGATCTCCATCCCAAGGAGAGAATAGATGAACATAAAAAGGAAAAGTAGGATTGAAAATGTGCTAATATCTTTAAATGTTCTTCCTATAGTCTTCAATAAATTTTAAAACTTCTTCCAAGCTTTTGCAAGTTTAAAAATTCTAATGAGTCTAAAACCTCTGAGAGCTGTGATTGCTCCTCCGCTACTAGAATCCACCAAGAAAGATACAAACAAATCAATAAGACTTGAAATAACTACAACACAATCAAATACATTAAATGGATCTCTAAAATATGCTTTGAATCCAAAAGCTAAAAGTTTTATAATCATCTCTATCATAAATACCATTGAAAATGCCATGTTTATCTCGTCTAATATCAAAGATTACTCTTCATCAATTGGATATCTATCTAATGCGAGATCTATAGTATTGAGCACTATAAGTATTGAAATGAATTGAGTAAAATAGGAGCTCTTAACCAGTTTAAAGCAAAAGTGATAAATCTTGTTACTTTCTGCTCTATCCTCTATTTTGAATTTTTCAACTTCCCTCATAAGGTTATTTTTTTATCTTTTTATCTTTATCCCTAATTTTTACTATGCTAATTACCTTAAATTCATTTAAGCCATTCCAAAAGCTGCTTTCTCTTCTTTGAGATTATTATTAGATCCCAAAAGTAACTTATTAAAGAATTCATCCTTTTGATTTTTTTCCTCGTTTTTTTTATCTAAAAACTTTTTGAATGCTGTTGGAATATTATTAGATCTCGCACTTTTACCTAAAGAGTCTTCTTGCTCTATTAAATCAACTCTTATTTTCAAACCTTCTTTATGAGGATTTTTAAAATTTTATCCTTATTTATCATTATCTAAATTTGAAAAATCTGAAATTTTAAGGCTAAATTTGGGTTCTGTAATTAACCTTCTTTAGCTCTTTCTTTCTGTCATCGATGCTAAATTTGGGTTCTGTAATTAACCTTCTTTAGCTCTTTCTTTCTGTCATCGATTGATTTTTAGCTATTTGCTCATCATCATGATCATTTATTGAAAATGAGTTAGATATTAATTTATCAGTTCCACCTCTTTCTCGTGCCCTTAAATTTAAAGTAGGATTATCAAACGGGTTATCGCTTTCCTCGCTCTTTTCTGAAATGCTTTCATGCTAAATATTTTTTTCTATAACATCATCTAATTTTGATGGTCGCTTTGAAAATGATTCCTTGATACTTTTTTACATTAGCAATGGCGTCTCGCCTGTTTAATCGAAAAATGAGTTATCTTATTCCTCTTCTCTGATAGTCTCAATCTTCTTGAAACTTTAAATGTTCTCTATTTAATTTATACCTGAGTTATTCTAAGTAGTTCTTCTCATTATTCCAGAGATTTAATTATTTACCTACACTTTGAGGTTATTTTATTCACCGATTTTTATTTGATTTGCTAAGAGTTAAGAGGGTTTATCCCCAGTTAATATTCCTAATACCTTGGTTTTGACCTAAATTGATAAATTAAATTTTTAAGAATATAGTTATTACATTTAGTCTTTTCAAGAAACTAAAGTCAGCTTTTCTATCTCGATAGATTTTTAGCTATTTGATCATCATCATAATCATTTATTGGAAATGAGTTAGATATTTATTTATCTGTTCCACCTCTTTCTCGTGGTTTTAAATTTAAAGTAGGATTATCAAATGGGTCATCATTTTCCTCGCTCTTTTCTGAAATGTTTTCATGTTGAATATTTTATTCAATAACATCATTTAATTTCGATGGTCTCTTTGAAAATGATTCTTTGATACTTTTTTACATTAGCAACGGCGTCTCACCTGTTTAATCGAAAAATGAGTTATCTTATTCCTCTTCTCTAATAGTCTCAATCTTTTTGAAATTTTAAAGGTTTTCAATTTAGTTTATACCTGAGCTATTATGAGTAGCTCTTCTCATTATTCCCGAGATTTAATTATTTACCTACTCTTTGAGGTTATTTTATTGACCAATTTTTATTTAATTTGCTAAAACTTGAGAGGGTTTATCCCCAGTTAGTATTCCTAATACCTTTGTTTTAACCTAAAATAAATTTCTAAGAATTTAGTTATTACATTTAGTCTTTTCAAGAAACTAAAGTCAGCTTTTCTATCTTGATTTATGACATCAATAGGAAGAGATTACTAGTTTTTATTTTCTTGATCTAATGTGAAATGTAAATTCTCTTGACCCTCACTTTTCCTTTAAATAAATGCTGAATTAGTTAATTAAAGTTAAATCTTACATGAAAAATTATTTTATTGATTTATGTAAAGGTTCGCTCTTTCTTTATTAGACATTGTTTTACTGTTTGCTTTCATTGATTAATTCTAGGCATCTTGAGGCTATTGCAAGTTATTACTATGAAGTAATCTATTTTTTTCATCTAATTTTTCTTGGTCGTTTGATTATTTTTGAGTTGGCCTTATTGCATTCAAATTTATATCATTCAAGCCTTTAAGTTACATCTCTAGCTCTTGCTTTTAGATCTTAATAAAGGCTTATATGATAACAGCAAGAATCAAATTCATAAGAAAGAATGAGCCAATAATGACAATTAGAATGCAATAAAAAGCTCCAAGGAATGGAATATCTGCATCCATCAAATTCAGCATGATAGGAGTCCACGCATCAGTAGTTATTATCTGAAAAACTGTGAGTAATGACGTTCCTAGGTTGTCAAAGTTTGTTATTCCAAAATTAATTTATGAGTTTTCATAAACTCCATCTTACTCCAAAGTAATTCCATACTCAATAGGATTACCACAGTAATAATTAGGCGGGCAAACATTGTAACCACTTGATTGAGTGCATACACCGGTCAAAGATTCATCTTTTGCCCAAAATGCTGGACTTTCAGGAGCATGATTGTACCTGCATCTATTATAGAGAATTCCATTGTACTAATGAACACCTAAGATTGCGAATAATACAAAGATGAACATAAGGAAGATTGCAACATGAAAGAAATCTGGGAGAGCTTAGATTAGCGCACTAACTAGTTTCCTCATGCTTGGTATTGCATTAATGCTTCTTAATGGTCTCAAAACTCTCATTACTCGTAAAGATTTTAAACGCAGGCTACCTCCACCAAGAATTTTCTCTAGAATGCTAAATCTATTTAACAAATATAATTTACCCGGATAGAACAACAACGAAATCAATTAAGTTCCAACCATCCCTAAGATATGCTCCCTTATGTAATAAGAAGCCAAATCCAATAATTTTAAAGACGCATTCAGCCACAAAAATCCAAGTGAAAACATCTCCTGCAACATCAAGAATCTAATTTCTCAAATGAATTGAATCTCTATCGTTGTAATCATACAAAGCAAGAGCTAAGGAATTCAAGATGATGCAAAGTAAAATAATTTAGTCGAAGAATCTATAAAATATTAAAAAAATGCAATTTACACACCTCCATTCAAGTATTTTGAGCATCCAAACCCTAATTACATTCTTATCTCTAAAAATGAAAAGAGAATTTTTACTGTATTATTTCTTTGGCCCTTTAATTTTCACTTCAATCTTTGAGTTATTTTTCTTGATTTTAATAGAGACAGTGCTGCTCTTTTAGAATCCATCATTTTAATCTCTGCTATGATCATCATTATGATAAGAATGTTCAGCCTCACTCATCAAGCTCTAGGCCTAGCGATTGATAATCTCAGTATTTTATTTCTATGACTTACCAGTCAAATCTTCAAACTTATCTATTGAACCCATATTAGATAGATCTCTTTTGATATTTTCTATGTTCTTGTTGGCTTTGAGATTAATTCATTTATCATTAATAAGAATTTTTTCATTGTTTTTTGAAGAATCTTGGAATTAATTTTATCTCGATCAATCCCTGAAATTATCAGACATCTAAGAAACTTTATCGTAATCTTTGTCTACTCCACTGCTATCGTTATCATAATTGTTAGAGTCTTTATGTTTTCTTTAAGCTCTATGCATATTATTGTTTTTATTTGCATATAAAGCACCACTTACTCCAAACGCTGACATTAAATCAAAACACTTAAACTTTTAATACTTCTGCTTGATTTTTTAAAGATTTAAACTAAAATTGATTGATAGGAAATAATATATTAAAGAGAATATATTTTGATTTTTTGCAGTTACTAATAAATTCAATTGCTCTATAGATTAGTTTCATGGGGTTTTGGGGTTTTGGGG